AATTGTTATGCAAGATTTTTTTGATGTGAATTAGGTTGAACTAACTGTTATTATATATTTAAATTATTGTGTCAATAATTAATAAAAAAATAGAAACGAAGGCCCATCACTCAAGTTTATTAATAGAAACAAAAGCTTAAATAAATATTCATTTTAAAAATTTTAATGTTGTATACAATTGTCTATACGACATAAGATTTGCTTCATATTGTGTTTTCTTTTTTTACAGAATAATGTATTTATTATCTCAACTTTTCAAGAATGATATAAAGTCAGTTTGATTAAAAAGTTAGAGACTGAGTGTTAAATCAATATATATATATATATATATATATATCTAAAACCAAGTAATAGTTTAACGTAACTCTTAGCCAATCTTAAGTTTTCATTTTAATATTAGATATAAATACTCGTGTGGTATGAGATGTAATTTTAAAGCGCAATAAAATAAGAAGAAACCTAAATTTTTATACCTAACTTTTCTAATGTTTCTAATGCCCTCTTATTATTATTTTTGGCTGCTAATTTTAAATAACCCAATCCACGCTCTTTATCTTTAGGTACTTTAAGTTTCCCATTCAAGTAAATATCGCCCAAATAATACATAGCATCAATAGTTTTATTTTCAGCTGCTAATTTTAAATAACGTATAATTTCTTGGAAATTTTTATCTTTTGCGGATTCATCATCATCTTTTTTGGAAATCAGCATAGCTGCATACCTAAACTGTGATTCTGTATGATTTTCATCGGCAGCTTCTTTAAAAAGATTCCTCGCTTTATCTAGATCTTTCTCTACGAAATACCCATTGCAATAGTAATAACCTTGCCAATATTTTGCTGAAGGAAGTTCGGAATTTTGTATGAAACAGTTCCATGCATCTTCACGCTTTTTTAAACGATGCAACTTTATACCATCTTCAAGAGACAGTATAATATCATTTTCTTCAATAATTTCCTCAGGATCATCATCAAATATTGGAAGTAAAGTTTCTGAAATAACTTGATTTATCTGATTCTCAATTTTTAATTCTAACTTTGGCGACAAACACTCCGTAGAATTTTGATAATTCTTTCTTTCAAAATCCAATTCTTTATACTGTAAAAGTAATGCCATATCGTGAGAAAGTGGGTATTTTTCAGCTAATTCATCAAGTTT